AGAGACACACAGACACACATAGACAGCAAAAAAACCTGTTGAGACGTAGCACGTAGAAAGACACACATAGAGAGCAAAAAACCTGTTAGGCACACAGAGACACACATACACACATAGACAGCCAAAAAAAAAAAAAAAACCTGTTGAGACGTAGCACATACAGAGACACACAGACACACATAGACAGCAACAACAAAAAAAAAAATCATGTTGAGACGAGGCACAAAGAGAGACACACAGACACACAAAGACAGCACAAAAAAAAAAAAAAAAAAAACCTGTTGAGACGTGGCACATAGAGATACACACATAAACAGAAAAAAACAAAACGTTTGAGACGAGGCAGACTTAGACACACAGACAAAAAGCAAACAACCTGTTGAGATAAGACATAAAGAAAAACACACAGACACATAGACATTAAAAAAACGTGTTGAGACGAGGCACAGAGAGAGAGACACATAGACACACATTGACAGCAAGCAACATGTTGAGTCGAGGCACACTAAGATACACACTTGACACACACACACACACACCAACACTCACATATATATAATCATCAGGTGCCTTGCCGACTGGCGTAGGCGATCATGCCGTTCCATAATCTGCGATCTCCTGCAGCATGTATCAGTTCGTGTGCCCACACACCTCCATGCCATGCAACAAGACTGTAATGCATCTTTTCAGTTTGTCTTCCTCTGTCTCTCCTTCCACAGATCTTTCCAGTGGTCACAACATGTTCTATTTTCCCTCTTCTCATAACATGGCCGAAAAATGATGACTGTCTCCATCTGATGTCTGTGATACGTTGTCTTCGGGCTCCCGCCTCTTTCAAATTCTCTTGGTTGCTCTTTTTGGCGGTCCAAGGTATTCTAAGCATTCTTCTGTAAAACCACATCTCCGAGGCCTATAGAAATTGTTTGGCCTGCCTACCGATTGTCCAGGATTCAACGAACATATGTTAAAACTAGATTTATGTAGCTAGCAAAAATTCTTTTTCTAACTCTCAATGACAAGGATATATTGCACAAGATGTTTTTTATTTTATAAAATGCAGTTTTTGCATATCCTATTCTGTTTCTTATCTCAGTTATGCATCTTCCATCTGATGTTATCCATGTGCCCAGATACCTAAATTTCTGTACTTGTCCTAAAATTACACCATCAACTTTTATTACACACTTAGGAATAATTCGTTTCTTTGATACCACCATTACTTCGTCTTCCCATTATTCAAACTGAGGCCCATTCTTCCACTTTCTAACACCACAATGTCTATTATTTCCTGTAGTTCTTTCTGACTTGTTGCTATCAAATCTGTGTCATCAGCATAACGTAAATTGTTTATATTGTGCCCACCAACCACAATTCCGGGCTTACCAATTAAAGCTCTCCTTATATATTCACTGTATATTGAAAACAAATCAGGTGACAGTACACATCCTTGTCGTACGCCCCTCTTTATGCTTTGAAATGTACCTAAACAGTTGGTTATTCTTATAGCTGCTGTTTGCTGCCAATACATATTCTTTATTATTCGTAGATCTTTCCAATCAATGTTTAATTTTTCTAACAGTTTACTTCTTCATGCATTTCACACAGTCAAATGCTTTTGTATAGTCTATGAAGCATATGTACAAATCAGTCTTTACTTATATAACTCTTTCTGACAATGTCCTTAGGATGTATTTGGCATTGTTTGTACTTTTTCTTTTTACAAATCCACATTGTTCATCGCTGATTTCTGGTTTAATTTTGTTTCTTACTCTTCTCATAATTATTCTCAGTAAAATCTTAGTCATGTGACTCATAAGACTTATTGTGCGATGGTCTTCACATTTTATAGTGCCTGGTTTCTTAGGCAGAGCTAAAGATATGGATTTTAAAAGGTCATTTGGAATATACCCACTATTATAAATATCATTTAAAAGATTAGTTATTATTTCAATTCCAAAATCTCCAAGTGCTTTGATTTCTTCCAGTGAGATGTCTGGCCCGGGTGCTTTTCCTTTCTTCATATGATTTATTGCATCCTCAACTTCTGCAGTTGTTATTGGTGGACCATCATTGTTGGTCTGCAGTTCTACATCTGGTCTATTATCATCATACAATTCCCCTATATACTCTGTCCATCTGTTAATTATATTATTATTACTATGTCCCATTAATAAGTCACCATCTTTTGATTTCAAACATCCAGTGCTGTTACTTGTCATCTTTCCTGTTAACATATTTATCTTTTGGTACATGGAAGGTGAGTCTTTTATGTTGTTTTCCCCAATCTCTGTACACATTTGATTCAGCCAGGCTTCTTTAGTCACTTTGCATTTGTTCACTATTTCTTTTTGTATTCTAGAGTATTCTTTTTTATCATTCTTTTTCTTCCTTCTTTCATCCATCAACTGCAGAATTTCGGTTGACATCCATTTCTTTTTTGCAACTCTATGGGTTGGTGGGATTGTCATATATATATATATATATATATATATATATATATATATATATATATATATATATATATATATATATATATATATATATATATATATATATATATATATATATATATATATATATATATATATATCAAGAGACATGTGGAGAAGAGGCCAATAGAGACACACATATACATAAAGGCAGCAAGAGACATGTGGAGACGAGGCAAATAGAGACACAAATATACATAAAGATAGCAAGCAACATATTGAGGCGAGGTACATATAGACACACAGACACACACAGCAAGAACGAACGAACGAACGAACGAACGAACAAACTTTATTTTTAAAGGGTTAAGAATTGGGCACGCAGGCCCGTCTAACAATCTGCCCTTCGAGGTCTCCCTCCATTCTTACATCATTTCATTCACACATCAAGTAATATTAAAAGTTAGCAATAGCATCAAAATAATCAATACAAGCACTGTGGAATATGCACATTTTTAACTACAGTAAAACGTATTAGTTGTAACAAATTAAGGAATATAGGCGCTTTGTTTTATCTTCTATGGGGGCATATAATCGGTGCTGAGATAATATTCGAACAGTTTCCGATTGTATGTATATGGACTAGTGGTACTTTTGATTTGCTGTGGTAGATAATTCCACAATTGAGCTGCGGAATATGACAAACTTGTTTTATAAAGGTCTATCCTAGGTTTAGGGATGTGTAACATGTTTAGGCGCTTACTATGCCTTTCATTATATTTAAACAGCGGCCATAAGTAACATGGAGCCTTTTAAGATAATATTTTGTAAGTATATTTCGCCTTATTGAAAAGTAGACGTTCACGAAGCGGTAGTAGCCTAAGACATTGATATGTTTCGGAGCTCACTGTCCCATGATTGTTACTAATTAAGCGTATGCCGCGCTTTTGCAGTGATGTGAGCCGCTTGATAACAGAGCTGGAAAACCCATCCCATATTGTAGAGCAATAGTCTATATATGTCTGGATGTAAGAAATATAGAATATCTTTCTTGTGTGTTCATCAAGAAAGTTTTTAATTTTTGCCAGCTGGTAAACCGTTTTAGCTGTTTGCTTCACAAGTGCTTGTACGTGTGAGTTGAAGGTTAGATTTGCATCAATTACCAACCCCAGTGTCTTGTGCTCAGTTACATTTTCTACTTGAGTGCCTCCAATATAGAGTTAAAGCGTTCTCTGAGAATTTAAACTGTATAGTTTTTGTCTGGTCGTTTTAAGCATAGATTTAGTTTTATTAATGTTTATTTGCATACGGTTTGCAGTGCTCCATTGGATTACATTATTTAATTCTTGTTGTAATGACGACTCTAGTACATTACATGTTTGAGCATTTGCATAGATGGTACAGTCGTCTGCGAATAAATCGCAGGACGACGACAGACATAAAGGAAGGTCATTTATGTAGATATTGAATAACAGAGGGCCGAGAATCGAGCCTTGAGGTACCCCAGTATTTAAGTCAGTGGTCTGCGATAGTGATTTATTGTAACAGATTATTTGTTTTCTATTTAACAAAAAGGATTTTATTAACTTTAATAGCCTAGTGTTAAATTTCATTGTTTCTAATTTTCTTATAATAATGTTATGGTCTATCATGTCAAAAGCTTTCTTAAAGTCTATAAACACCCCGCCATATATTTTCTCATCATTAACATTCTGGTGCCATTTTTCAGTCATGTTAGTTAAGGCAGTATGGCAAGAATAGTTTGGTCGAAAACCTGATTGGTTATCCACTATAGGTTTGTTGTGATATAAGTGCTGAAAAGTTACATTATGAATATGTTTCTCTAGTGGTTTCGATAGTGAAGATAACAGGGAGATTGGTCTGTAGTTACCCGGATTACTACTGTCTAAGGAACCAGATTTTAGGTGTGGATACACTTTGGCAATCTTAAATGCAGATGGGAAGTAGCCTTTGACAAGACATTGGTTGTAAATAAAGGTCTTCGACTCACAAATAACTGGGGCAACAATACAAAGGATCCTATTGCTGATTCCGTCTAAACCGGATGTATTACTGTTTCTGAGACTGTTGAAATGTATAAAAACTTCCGCAACTGTCATGAGAGGAATGTCAGAAGGAATGTCCTCAGAGCATTTATTTGACTCCACTGCAAGAGACATGTTGAGACGAGGCACATATAGACACACAAACATAGACAGCAAGAGACATGTTGAGACGAGGCACATATAGATCACACAAACATAGACAGCAAGTGCCATTCTGAGAAGAGTCACATAGAGACACACATAGACATCAAGAGACAAGTTGAGGCGACACACAGAAACTCACAGACACATTAAAGATATTGCTAAAAAAAAAAAAGAAGATAAAGAAATGTTTTATTCACTTTGTTTAATTTTAATTTTTTAGGCGTCAAAGTTTAATTTTAATTTTTTAGGTTTCAAAGTTTAATTTTAATTTTTTAGGCGTCAAATAGCACTCGATTATGCACATTTAAAGAATACTCTTGTTGGCGGTAATCATCCAAGATGATCGCATCTGCATTTTTCATTATCTGAAAGAGTCAAAATGAATAGGAATTAAATATAGTTAGTTGTATACTGTAAATCCCGGTAACCGTGTTTGGGTTTCTTTAGGTTGAACTACTCCTTTTTCAAAGGCGCTTTATATTTTCATAATCACGCTCCCTGGCGACTGGCGTAGCCGTTCATGTATACCACAAATCTCGGTCACTTGTGCTCTGGATGAATCAATCCGTTTTCACCGTCGCGGTTTATCCGTCATCCTTCCTCTCTTTTTCTCTCTCTCCTTCTCTCTCTCTCCTTCTCTCTCTCTCTCTCTCTCTCTCTCTCTCTCTCTCTCTCTCTCTCTCTCTCTCTCTCGTTCTGCCTCTCTGTCTTCTACCGTTGAACTTCCCAGTCGTCACAATATTCTTTAAAGCTTTCCCTCTCATCGCAAAACAAAAAAAAAAAAAAAAACAGTGCTTGTCTTTTCCTTATAGCTAAATATTTTGATCTGCTTTCATTAGCTTCCTTCGAGCCATCCTCGTTAGTTACTTTGGCAGTCCAAAGAAAATTGTAACAGTCTGAAAACCCATATCTTCGTCGTTCTTCATAGTTTGTGCATTCACATTCCACTATTCAACCATTCTGAAATATAGGTTCTTCTTAGAATTTTTGACTCTTTTTCGGACACTAGGGCATTACATTAAGATAAACAGGCACATTTGTAGTTGGACCCTAACGATAAAGGACAGGACTCACTTCCTTGGCATTTGAAGCACTAACCTGGAGTATAGGAGAATACCCCCACCCCCCCTTTTTTTAAATACCCTACATCATCATGATCATGTGCCCTGTCAACTGGCTTAGGCGTTCATGCGTCTTCACAAATCCCGATCCCTGGTTGTCTGGAACAGCTCTCTTGATGATATCCCTATATGCCATTGTTTCAGCCCATCCAGCATCATCGCTGTTGGTCTGCCTCTAGCCCCTTTTCCATTGATTTTTTCAGCTGCCACGATGTTCTCCAATGTCACTCTTCTCATTATATGTCTGTCTGTCTGTCTTTCTGTCTGTCTGCCTTTCGGTCTGCCTTTCTGTCTGCCTTTCCGTCTGCCTTTCTGTCTGCCGTTCTGTCTGCCTTTCTGTCTGCCTTTCTGTCTGCCTATCCGTCTGCCTTTCCGTCTGCCGTTCTGTCTGCCTTTCTGTCTGCCTTTCTGTCTGCCTTTCTGTCTGCCTTTTTGTCTGCCTTTCTGTCTGCCTTTCCGTCTGCTTTTCGGTCTACCTTTCTGTTTGCCGTTCTGCCTGCCTTTCTGTCTGCCTTTCCGTCTGCCTATCCGTCTGCCTTTCTGTCTGTCCTTCTATCTGCCTTTATGTCTGCCTTTATGTCTGCCTTTCTGTCTGTCTGTCTGTCTGTCTGTCTGTCTGTCTGTCTGTCTGGCTGTCTGTCTGTCTGTCTGTCTGTCTGTCTGTCTGTCTGTCTGTCTGTCTGTCTGTCTGTCTGTCTGTCTGTCTGTCTGTCTGTCTGTCTGTCTGTCTGTCTGTCTGTCTGTATTTCTGTATTTCTGTCTTTCTGTCTTTCTTTCTTTCTTTCTTCTTTTTTCTTCTTCTTCGCCAGCTGTAAACTCCGGCGGAAAAGTTGTAGTTGTTCGTCCACTTCTGGACTCTAGTCCTGTTCCAGAAACTGAGTGTTGTATGCGCATCCGTTTGACAGATCTGAGTTATTTGCATGCAGAATGTTGGTTCTTTGACTCTCAAGCAGATGTACTGTGACTTCGAAGGGCGCTCGTAACCAGTGAACTCTTACGGCATGCTTTTGGACAGGTAGTGGGTTTATTATTGTTTTCCATACGTTATAGCCCCAGAGCCCACACGGGGAGCAATGGTAATTATTTAGAGCATTTTATATTATACAAAATAGTTTTCATTAAAAAAAAAAGCAATGTTTATTATTCAAGAGCATGGGAACTGACAGTACACCAATCTATATATATAAAAATCAATGTTTGTGTGTTTGTTTGCCCCCTATAGACTCGGAAACTACTGAACCGATTTAGCTGAAATTTACTGGATATGTTTGTTTTGATACCGGATGTTGAACCATCATGGTTTGAAATTCAACCTGTCACTGTTAGAGATAGGTGACCACAATTTTAGCCATAATATTCGAAACTAATATTTATAATTTTAGTGATTTCTAATTATAGTCACGTTAGTAATTGCGCATGCGCCGTGCAGCCAACACCTCCTCTAATACATAGAGTAGGTCGTGGTACAGCATGCAAGACTATATCTATATCTGTGCAGGCAGTAATTGCCACAATAACTATATTAGACACGATTTCTATTTTCTGTTTATTTTCTCAAACATCCTATGATAAGTTGAAAACTAGCCGATGGATTGGTAGGGAAAAAAAGGGAAAAGGGGGGGGGGGGCATCAGGGACTATCTCGACGTCTGCGCGGACATTGACTGCAACATTAACCGTGTTAGACACGTGCGATTTCTTTTGTTGTGCTGTTTCATTAATATATTTGGAATATCTGTCTATGAGAAAACAATTGCCTGCTGTTTTGAGTTGTGTTATAATTGACACACTGCAGTAGGGACACACATCTAAAATAGTTATGTTCTCTTTTCGTTGTTCCAATCAAGTGGTTGCTTGGTCGAATGGTTAGAACACTCGGCTCTTGAGAGGGAGAGGGAGACCAGGGTTCGAATCCGCAGTAGTTTTTTTTTTAAATTTTTTTTTAAAACTTAGGGCCAAAATAAAATCCTCACCTGTACTGTCGTGGCGACAGCACTAGCCATATGGTCCTTAATGATATAAAAAAAAATAAAAAAAAAAAAAACAGACAGGTTTGTGGGTAAACCAGTTGATAATTAAATTTGACCATTCCACATACTTATGATTTCATTTTAAACTTTTCGATTGCATGGTTACGCTGAAATTTCATAGCTTTCCATTTATTTTCATTTAGATTTAATTATTTAATCTGCGTTGGAATTTTAAGCTGTGCTGTTTACCATAGCGTTCATTTCCTAATTCTGGTGTATTTTTCCTGTTTTAATTGCTTTTCAAATGGTTTTTTTCCCCTCTCAACTACTCTGATGAGGGAAAGAGTAGTCGGTGAATTGGGGGGGGGGGGGAGGGGGGGGGCACACTGATTACTGAGAGAGCTTTAAGTCACAGTAACTGCTTTACCCACTCAAAGTAGCAGCAGCCGTAGGAGTTGTGGTTGGGCGGTTACACCGTAGTGCTCTCATGTGAAGACCGCCTGTAAGGTTATGGCATTCTTCTGTCGGGGAGCGAAATCATACATCCTAACCTGACCAGTCCGTGGCGACAGCACTAGCCATGCGGCGTCAAATCTTCTGGCTCACGACTCCCTGTCTACTCCGATGGTAAGACAGATAGCAGTGACATTATTTTAGCTACTGTGGTGGTGGTAGTAGTTGTACTGGTACTTGAAGGATGATGCTGTAAATATTACATTAGCCCCATTCACTACCTATTACAATTCCTGCTCCCAATTTAGTCCGGATGAACAGGGATGTCAATGTCAGTTACAACAAAAAGAATATCGCCAGGTGATGATTTTTCAATCCTTCAAAGAGGGAGAGAGCAGTAGTCGGTGGAAGAAGGGAGGGGAGAGGGTAATGACTGAAATTTAAGAGAACTTGAAGAGCTTTACACATGATTTTTAAGTTCTCATTACTTACTTAAATTGTTTATATTTTACTAACGCTACCTACACTATTCTAATTTTTGTACGACTTACTTTGTTATTTACAAGTACAGTAGTAGCTTTACTTACGTCTCCTATAAAAATACAAACAGCTTTAGCATGTGATAATCAAATAACCACTTTTGTTACTGTGCTAATAGCACCATTTAAACGACCGCTAATATAAAGACACAATTATATGGTGCGTGTTCTAAAGTTGGAAAACCAGACTATCTCTATATAAATGTGCAGAGAATGATTGCCACATTAACTATATTAGACAGGTGCGATTTCCATTGTCTTTCTTTTCCAAAAACCTTTGATGAGGGAGAGGGTAGTAGGTGGATTTAGTTGTGGGGTGGGGGGAAGGGGGGGGGGTTGGGTGGGGATCAAAGACTATCTCTATATCTGAGCAGACAATGATTGTATTAGACACGTGCGATTTCTATTATCTTTCATTTCCATTTAGCCAAACTATGCCACAGCAACGCGTGGCCGGGTACAGCTAGTTTTATTATAAAATGCAATATACTCACTCATACTCCTGTATTATGTTATCCGGGTATGAGGTTTGTGTCCCAACAGCTTCGTTAGTATAACCTCCGTCAGTATCGGGTGCATAATAAGCGTTGAGTCCACTATTTATGCTATTATTGCGATTCCAAAGGTCAATTAACTCTTTTAGAGCATTTTCACGATAATTTTGTACCCAGTCTATCGGATCGACCATAATGCCACTGTTCAGACCAAAATAATCTTCTAAAGTTGGATAGTTCAGCTCCTCAAATCGCTGAAGTGGTGATGCAATAGCTGTCGTCATCAGAGCCACAAGGAAACATGATTTCATCTGTAACACGGAAATGTCAAAATACATGCGTTGATTGTTTCCTCAGAAGTATATGAAATGCAGTGTTATATGTAGATGAAAAGAAATAACAGAGAGGCATAGAAACTGAACAAAAAATTCTTACCGAGTTCAAGAGAGATATAAATGGTATGACTGAATTAATAATGTAGAGCTTTCATTGAGAACTAAAGAGGTCGCAATGGCCCAAGAGGTGGAGAAAAGACGTTGGCATTGGATAGGATACACATTGAGAAAAACTGAGAACAATATGACTCTGCACTCGAACTCACAATAACCAAACTGGCAGAGGATCAATGAGCTGGTCTCCCACTTATGTGCTGGAGATATTGTCCGTAAAATACAATAAGTGAAGTCTACTGGCCGAATTTTAACGCTAAATGAACGAACCAACCGACCTTTTTTTTTTTGTTGTTTTAGTTTTTTTGTTTTAAAGGATTAGGAATTGGACATTCTGACCGTTAACATTTCTGAGAATTCTGCGCTTTTGGTCTTACTCCATATATATATTATTTAAGTCATATATAATTGTACAGTTAATAACTAACATTGTAAAAACATATGTGATTTAATCACAAATGGTGAAATGTGTTGTTAATGAAACTCCCTACCGTCCCCCCCCCCCCTTAAAAAATTCTTAAAGTAGTAATTATAATAAACCAGTTTAGTTACGATGGGATTTTAAAAGGGAATAGACTGATTGATAAAACAGTATTCGATTACAACCAAAGTACACTCGACCTGGAAGGCGAGGATCAAGCAACAACGCCACGTGGAAATTTAAGTTATGGTATCGAAATAAGATATATCACATTTGTTATGGAGTGTAGGTAGGTAGGTAAGTTGTACCCCACCAGGACATCACACAAGCGATAAACACCCGTTAACTCAAGGTGCCACCATGCGGACTAGGATCACCCGTGGAGCAGTCCCGGAAACCGTTATGCCATATTTATGTCCCGGCTAGCACCAGGGCCGAGATTTCTGCCCATCGTCCGGGTTGTCAATGTACATGTGGGAAAAGCTTCATTGGGTTGCATGATCTGAGAACGCCAGCCGGAAGGATGAAATGCAAGGGTGCGCCACGCTGTAAGCGTCGGCTTATAAGCTACTCCTATAGTTAATGAATTGTCAGGGAGCAACGGGAGGGGTGAAACCCACTAGCCCGGAGAGACCCGAGACGTCGATTTTGGGGAGGGGGGGGGGGGTGGTGGTCAATTATTTCTAGGTCTTGTAGAACTGTATCCGATAAGACCGGACAACTCAACAATAGTTCTAGTGTGAGAGTTCACATCACAATATGTCAGTTCTCTTTTGTATTTGCATTTTGTCAGTTTCCTTTACATGTTTGTTTTTCGTTTTCTCTTGAGTATGTAGTTCAGCTAATGGTTTGAACGACTTTTTAAGCTTTTAACTCCTAAGTGAGAGTTTCATACTGTCTACGAAATACAAGGGGCTCCAAGACAGCTGTTTTAGACTGATTAGATCAAGCTATCGTAAAACAGTAGTTGGTAATACTGTATTTATTAACGTAGAATGATGCGCCGCGTATACCAAAACTGACAACCTAACTTTTCTACGATTTTGGGCAAAGAGAGCAAGCAAGCCCTACTTATCCTAGGAATAAGAAATGCAACCTGGAAACGATGTTATGACAGGGTTTACCCAGCCCGTACGCTTCATTGGCAGCTTGTTTAAGCTCTGAGAGGTCAACAGAAAGAAAACTGTTCTTCTGATACGAACATTTCTACAGCATCCTTTATTTCAACCGTATCAGTGTTACAGATAACTATAAAATACCTCAAAACTCTACGACATGGCCATCGGCTGGTAAAAGGCGCCATAACCTCTCCCCCCTGCTGCCTTGCAGGGTAAGTCTCTTTAGACAAAGGCTTTTGGAGTCAAACCATAAACGGCGGAATACAAGGGGAAACCATGGCTTTATTATCCCTGGCAATTTCTTTTAAAGAACAGTACAATGTCACTGTACAATATCAATATAATGCAATGGAAATGATACAACTATTGATGTGCGATATGTTGAGTGAGTCAGTTCAGAAGACATCAAAAGAGACAATCCCACCAACCCATAGAGTTGCAAAAAAAAAAAAAAAAAAAATGGATGTCAAACGAAATTCTGCACTTGATGGATAAAACAAATAAGAAAAAGAATGATAAAGAAAAATTCTATAGAATACAAAAAGAAATAGTGAACAAATGCAAAGTAGCTAAAGAAACCTGGCTTAATTAAATGTGAACAGAGGTTAGGGGAAAATCACAGGAAAGACTCACATTCCATGTACCAACAGATAAATAAATATGTTAACAGGAAAGATGATACTTAACAGCACTGGATATTCAAAATCAAAAGATGGCGACTTATTAATGGGACATAGTAATATAATTGACAGATGAACAGAGTATATAGGGGAATTGTATGATTCAATATTACTCGCATTAGTTAACCAGAATGCGCGATTTAACACTGTTTAAATTTTTACACCTAGTGGCGTAAAGAATCGTGAAAATAACATGGCTGTACCTTTAATGTTGTAGACTGTAGTAAACCAAAGCAAGAGACACTCCTTCAAAAACTACATACAAGTAAAGAGAAGCTGCACATAATTATTATTTATACTGTTGGAATGTAAAGCGTGTCACATGATATCAACATATTTCATCTACCGTTGGGTGACACTATTTCACACTTTTTCGTAGCTTGGTCTGATGAGGAAAAAGATTATCCCGTGCAAAAATTTAAAATAACATTATCGGCTGATCTATCTATCATTTTGCCTGTTTTAGAACCAATCTTATTACTTTTTTTTTAACTAGGCAAACATGGCGTTTTGCAAATCCCTTTTCTTATAACTTTAGACGACAGAATTTCCTACACTTTCGTATTAGGTCGCATCAGCTAATGGTTTGACAAGATATAGTGTAAAAAAGAATTCCTGGCACACGTGCCTGGTATCACAATACACATGTATTTGAATCTCCCATAAATGCGTTTAAAAAAATAGATATACATTACTTTTATTGGTTTGGGTAAAATGGGAGCAGACACACACACACACACACACACACGCACACACACACACGCACGCATACGCACGCACACACACGCACAAACACACACACACACTTGAACGCACGCACGCACGCACACGCACACACACGCACACGCACACGCACACACATGAACACACACACACACGCGCGCATGCGCGCGCTCACGCACACACACACGCGCGCCCACACGCAAGCACACACACGCGCGCGCACACACACACGCACGCACACACACACACACATATACACGCACACACACACACGCACGCACACACACACACACACGCGCGCGCACACACACACACACACACACTCTGTGATTATTGTAAATGTTTGAGAATATCTGATGTTAGCCAGAGCCAATACCTGTTGAGGACACATTGTGCTTGAGTAAATATCGAATTCTGCGCCTCACATTTCTGCTGACCAGGACTTGATATTATAGGTTAGACTCGTCAGGCCTCACTCACACAAACACCTGCAGACGCAATCCGCTTTGTCATGAAATTTTTATAAAGTTTATAGTTGTGGGTAGGTAGCTGCTGAGCTAGGGGGGAAAAATCCTAACATTCAACTAGCATCCCTAAAGGAGGAGCTTTAGGATATAATTCTGACTTGGTGCTGTGCGCCATAAAAAAATGTCTTAGCATTCGCACCAACAAGAGACCAGAAAACGAATTTTGCAGTGTTGATGCGATCAAAGGAAACAGACCCAAAGACGTCCCGACTGGCGACGAAGTTGTCAACCGGCCGGCCAATGGTCGACTAGGTCGCCAATGGATTATTGTGGATTTAATTACGCTATTTATCACATAACCACACTAAACTGTGTATGATAGAAAAATGATCGTTCCATAAAGCATATTAGACACCTCAAACATCACTTCTCTATTGCTATATCTTAAAATTGAACTTTGTCGGAAAAAAACCGGCACCAACGAAACTTCAACATACAACATTTTCAGCAAGCAATTTTTGGCGATAGTTTCCGAAAATTACCGTTTCATATCAAGCGTTGTTTAGATTTAGTGACCAGCAAACGGGCCTGGTATCATAATAGACATATGTTTGAATCTCCAATAAATTAAAATAGAAACATATTACGAATATTTGTTTAGGTAAAATGGGAGCAACATAGAGGCACACATAAAAAGCAAGAGATATGTTGAGACGAGGCACATCTGGACACACAGTATAGATAGCAAGACATGTTAAGACGAGGCACAATAAGAGACACACAGACACATAGACAGAAAGAGACATTTTGAGATGAGGCACCAAGAGACACACATACACATATAGATAGCAAAAAAAAAATGTTTTGAGGAGACATATAGACACACAGAGCTCATAGACCGCAAGTGCATATAAAGACAAGGCTCATAAAAACACATAGACACACATAGCAAGAGACATGTTGAAACGAGACACATATAGACACACAAACATAGACAGCAAGAGACATTTTGAAACCAGTCACATAAACATCATGAGACATGTTTAGGCGAGACACACAGAGACAGATAAAAACATTGTTTAAAAAAACCGCAGAAGATAAAGAAATGATTTATTCCTTTTGTTTAATTTTTCAAAGCGTCAAATTGCACTCAGTGATGCACATTTAGAGAATAATCCTTTCGACGATGATCATCCAAAATGACCGCGTCTGCATTTTTCATTATCTGAAACATAAGAAAGGGTCAAAATAAATAGGACTTAAATATTGTTGTATACTGTGAATAACCGAACCAGGTCGACCGAACCTTAAGTGGGTACCGGGTGCAGTCCGGGGAAGTAAATGCGGCTGGCACGGTGTTGACCACATAATGCAACAAGTGCCGTTGGTCTAAAAAATTTAGGTCTTGCCCTATATTCCTAATACGCATGAAAGGCGTGCAAAAGGATCCTTTACTTTTTTTACTGTGACTACCGGTGATATTGAACTACTCTTTATTTTTAAAGGCAACTTATATATGTTCATAATCACGCACCCTGGCCACTGGTGTAGGCGTTCATGCATCCCCATCGATCTGGGTCCCTTGTGCTCTGGATCAGTTCCACTGATGATATAAATCCGGGCCACTGTCGCGGTCAATCCGTCATCATCTCTCTGTCTGCCTCTCTGTCTTCTACCGTTAACCTTCCTTGCCGTCACAATTTTCTCTATAGCGTCACATAACAACACTTGACCAAAAACAATGCTTGTCTTTTCCTTCGAGCTGTATATAATGATATGATTTCATAAGCTTCCTTCAAGTAATTCTCATTAGTTACTCTAGGTGTCCAAGGGATTCTTAACATACTTCTGAAAAACCACATCTCCAAGTTTTTTTCTAATTTGTGCATTCACATTCCATGACTCAAACCATACAGCAATATAGGTTCTACATAGCAATTTTGACTCTCTATCGGACATCCAGAGAGAAGAACCTTTTCGACAAGATGGTCTTTATTCTATGAAATGCAATCTTGTCTGGCCTATTGTGCTCTTAATTTTTGACACTCATCTCCCGTCTGATATTGTGCTTGTACCCAGATATTTAAATTAATCGTCCTGGATAATTTTTTTTATCTTGTATTCTATCACACTTTAGTGGTAGTCTTTTCTGAAATATAATCATTCCCTCTGTTTTCTTTCATATAAAATAAACATGAATAATACAGGTAATGTATTTAAAAACAACAATAATATAAACACACATCACTCACTTTATAGGTGCTAATGCAGGACAAGTCATGCAATTGTGAAGAGATTTGAAACAATGGGGAATGTTAATTTTCAGAAGAATGAAGAAAGGCATTGGTATACTGGGGTAGTTTCTTTTGGAAATCCTTGAATCATTGCTCCATTTATTTATAGTTCGATGCATGTATGCCTTATTTTTAATTTCGACAGGTGGGGGAGGGGTTCCTTCTTGATTTAAATATATGGGTTGAGCCGGCAGTGCAGTGCATGGTTACCAGGTGCCACGGAGGTGGAAATTCAGAAGTTAATTCAAGAAAATACTCGCTTGGATGAAGTGATTATTTATACAGATGGTTCAGTGTGAAGAGGCAAAAGTAGTGCCTGTGAGTTCTTAACAAAAGCTTTTGGTCGACGTTTGGGCAGCTTAGCAGAGCATATGATACCACATTATTCAGCTTAAAAATGGAGGTCGAGGTCACTGCAGCTTTCCGCTGGCTAGAGAACACGACACACCCATTCAAACAATATGAATGTTGTCGACTCAAAAATAATTCTCAGGACAGTGAAGACAGGCATTCTTCCTGCAGAGTAACATGCTTCGCTTCATAAGTCATGGGTGGAGAGTATTGTCTGGATCTTTTTCCAGGGCATGCCGGTGTGTTATAAAATGAACATGAGGGCAGATTGGCTGGCTCAGCAGTCAACATTAAAAGCATACAATATCACCATGCATCTATGGAGACATTTCAGTAACAGCGGAACACACACGGTGCGGTACGTTAATTTGGACTGAAAGAATAAATAGAACGGAAGTGTCACAGCGAATGCACGGAGAGGTCACGGAGAAGCTACAGTGGAATCTCACTAGCAGACTACACTAAGACAAACAGGCACATTAGTAGTTGTACCCTAACGATAACGGTCATGACTTACTTCCTTGGCAAAGGATGCACTAACCTAGAGTATGGGAGAATAACCCCCTAATCCTAATCTCCCTTTACAATATTACAAACACAACCGAAACTGTGAATTTAAACAGACCAACACCACAAGTGAGTTTCGGGCACCATTGTCGGGATGGGGGGAAGAATAAAACCACTGCCTCACGAACTAACAAGTTGTAAGAGTCTATTAACTGGGACCTTCTTTCGAAGTCTGTGTGTATCTACCTGTCAGGCAAGGGACCAACGATCTGCATACAAATAGGTCAGAAATGTAAAATAGTTGTGCAGGTCCTGGTGCAAGACTAAAGGCAAAGGGGGACAAACGACCCTTTTCCTCCAGAGTTTACACCCAAAGAACGCAAAGAATAAGAGGATGAAGAAAAAAAATAGACAAAGAAGAAATAAGATAAAAGAAGCTAACAAGTAGACTAAGAAAATAAGTAAGAAGAAGAAGCTAACAGGGCGAGCAGTCGAACCAACGAGGCCCCGCCATACGAGAAGGACTACACGAAAAATTGGTAATGACACATAGCCATTTGTAATGGCCCCAAAACTAAAACTATCATAGCTAAGAAATTTGGCAGAAATAACACATCTTAAACAATACACTTTGCACAAAGAAACCACACCACACACATAACCGAAGCCTTTTGTCGCAGGTTGAACGTAGTCAACTTAAAAAATAAAATAAATAAAATGGCATAGAATCAAGTAATAAGAACAGTTATCTCTGGCACTGAAGAAAACCCCAAAAGATATCAACTGAAGAAAAGTAATAATAGTAAACGGAATAATAACGTTATAATTGCTAAAATGTTTCGTTTGTCTCCGAAATAACTAAAGAGAGGCAATTGAAATATTTCCGTCACACCGATTGACATAACACTCTTTTAAAAACCTACAGAAAAGAAAAGTTGAAGGCAAGAGAGCCAGAAGTAGTTACCGATACAAGTGGGAGAACAATATCAAGAGATGGACGAACAGCAGTCTGAGACGGTGTACTGACAAGACAAGAGACATGTGGAAATACATTGCAGCCAACCTTAATCTTGGAGACGGCACCTAATTGTTAATAGTATTAAACAAATACTTTCAAAGTAACTCAAAAGACACAGGAAATATGAGATAAAAAAACGCAAGGCGATAGTTTTACGCAGGTAATAAAAACATGTAGACAGCTGCAAGAGATAGACAACACATGAAAACTATGACTTCTTTAAGAGCCTATACTACAATAAACAATTTAAAAAAAAGTAGAAGTACGTCAAGCAGTAAACAGTACATACAAGGTGTCACATAGGTTTTCATACACATGAAAGTAAACATATCACCAGCGACATTACACGGATAACCATGAGTGTTCTTCAGCAGTGACGGACATGCATCGAAATATGTTTCCGAAACAATGGTAGTCATTTATAGCATATTATACAACTATTCTCCTTTCTAAATCCTCTCAGTGGGACAGGACGAGCAGTTGATTCAGGAGACAACCTAGAATCGGCAACGCTGAAAAGACTAGAAGAACTTCAGGTCAAAAGAGGTGTCACCAAACCTGATCGCTATAATGGTGGCCAAAAAAAGAATAGTAAACCAACAAAAAACTGATGTTATCAGTCGCTACACGCTGGGGGATATACTGAAGATTGGATCCGAGGGCTAATGGACTTGTCCGATGAGCTGTGGGGATAATTTCTCAACTCACTCACTCACTCACTCACTTGCTCACTCACTCACTTGCTCACTCACTCACTTGCTCACTCACTCACTTGCTCACTCACTCACTTGCTCACTCACTCACTCACTCACTCACTCACTCACTCACTCACTCACTCACTCACTCACTCACTCACTCACTCACTCACTCACTCACTCACTCACTCACTCACTCACTCACTCACTCACTCACTCACTCACTCACTCACTCACTCACTCACTCACTCACTCACTCACTCACTCACTCACTCACTCACTCACTCGCTCGCTCGCTCACTCACTTGCTCACTCACTCACTTGCTCACTCACTCACTCACTCACCCACTCAATCAAAACCCATCCCACCCACCAACCAACCAACTAACCAACTAACCAGCCAACCAACCAACCAACCAACCAACCAACCAACCAACCATCCAACCAACTAACCAACCAACAAAACCAACTAAACTAACTAAACTAACTAAAATAACTAAACTAACTAAACTAACTAAACTAACTTAACCAACTTAACTAACTCAACCAACTTAACTAACTATTATTATGTAAATAAAATGGTTTTAAAAAAAAACCATGTTAATTATTCCTGTGTAGGGAAACTGATGGGACACCGTGGATATTATAAAATCCAGTATACTTACTCATACTCCTGTATTATGTTATCCGGATATGGTGTGAAGGAACCAACAGCTTTATCAGTATAAACTCTTTGAGTAGGCGGGGCATAATCAGCTTTGAGTGCACGCTCTCCTCTGTTATTGAGATTCACACATTCCGATACCTTTTTCATAAAATCTTCAAAATTAGGTGTTTGCCATTCGCTCGGATAGTCGACCATAATGGCACTGCTCCGGCCAACAAATGCTGCAGTCATCAGAGCCACAAGGAACAATAGTGATTTCATCTGTAACATGGACATGTCAAAATACATATTTGTAATATAATAAGAAATGTAGATTAACAAAAATTAGCACCAGGAGTCATTAGTATTGAATAACAAGTATGACAAAATAAAATAATGTAGAGCTTTTAGGGAGAACCAAACAACTTGCAGAGGTGAAGAAAAGACGCTGGCGTTGGATAGGATATACCTTGAGAAAACCTGAGAACAATATAACTAGAATTTCTGTGTACTCAAAATTAAAAAAAGGCATAGAAATAAAGGAAGGAAAAAAAAATCGTACAAGGAGCCGGGAGCTAAAAAGTAAATTCGAAAAGATGGGAAGGACATTGTGACAGCAGCATGCGTTAGCGAAGGTTAGAACCACTTGGCGTAAGCTGGTTGTGCGCCAATACTTCCTTGCGGGATAAAAGACAGTGGAAGATGATCATGTACAACCATGGACAATGTACTACAATGTTTCTCCGGAAAAAAAGTCTCACATTAATTGTTGCTTCAAAAAAAAAAAAAAAAAAATCATTAGGACTTATTTTTTAGGGATGTCTTTTATTGCCGATACACAATTCTGCATTTATTCACTGCAGCCATATCATCGTCTTCTGGTACACCGTCAAATCGGGAATTCCGGCTTGTATTTCGACTGACTATTCAGCAATGAGTCTCTCATCCTAGCTGACGATCTTAATTAGGGAAACGCATGATCTCAACATATGTTTTCTTGTATGAAGAATATAATCTCTATTACTGTCAGTAATTATCTCTAGTTCTTCTGCTTCTCAATATCACAAATATAGCACCGTGGTCTAAGAAGACGAAAAGATGTCAATGACAGTTTTAGATATCAATTATTTGTCCAGTCTCTTTACTTTCTCCCTCTGACTTTCGGTGCGGATCCAAGGTTGTTAAGGTGTTTTCGCTGCCCATCTAAACAACGAAGTAATTGACTTGAATGGGTTCTGTAAGGTTTAATTCATGGAGGCTCTTAAAGACTTCTGGGGACAATATTTAATAATGTCAGTTATGGAAACCACGAACAGAAATGACTTTTAGACTGCTTGAGAAAAGCCGCCAACAGCCATCCCAGACAAAGTTGGAAATATTATTAGACTGTAGGAACAACACCATGCAGCAAATTCATTGAAAAACAGAAGGTCAGATGGTTTGGTCATTCAGTAAGAATGCAGCCGGAACAACTACCAGTGCAGGCGCTACACATGGAAAGTTCTGAACAGAAAGAAACAGGTTGCCGAAGTAGAATATGGATTGATGACATTAAAGAGCTTCTTCATCGACGCGACATGTCAGTAGGCAATGCTGCCCATCAAGCAATGAAACGCGAACTGTTCGTTGATGACGACACTGCATTGACAGTCTCCATCTCTCAGTTTTACCGACTTAGTTCGGAAAGTCTCTTATTTAAAAATACTTGTAACTACTGATTATAAAAATTTGACATAAGGCCATCCCTCTACACGAGGTAGTAAAATAATACATGAAAAGGCAGATATGGGCAAGGCCTTTGGAAACAAGCAACAGAATCAGTAGAAAAACCAGATTTTTATGGCCTGCAGAGAATGAGGCACCTGGGTGTAACCAGAGAGACTGGCCGGCTCATTAAACTTAGAGGAGAGGCAAAACGGACATATAACCAGATTGTGACCGGTACCAAGTATTGGAACTATGCGCTGGCTGCTGAAGATGAGGACAGAGCACGGTTTGGAATACCCCGAGTGATGTGATGTCAATTCTTGACCCAACTCAACTCAACTCTACTCTGTGTCAAAAGTGCAGCAATATTTAAAAAAAAATCAGTAGTATTAGTGGATTTTACGCCACTAGGACATCACACAAGCGATAAACGACCGATGACAACAGTCCGACCATGTGGATAAAGATCACCCGTGGAGAGGTCTGGGAAACCGCATAAAGCCATTATATCATATTTATGGAAGGGCTATATTGCGGCTCCTGGCCAGGGTGGGGCTTCAAAATAACGAAGGAGATGACTAAGGTTAGTTGCGTATCCTTTACAGGACGTTGCAGAACCAACCCCAACAGCTCCTGGCTGTTGTGTGGTTTTTATAGGCAAATTTACGTCCAGTAGTTTGCCATTGCTTATTGCACGATCGGCTCTTTTGATGCCACTGTCGAAACCAACGCAAGGGGCATGGCCCGCAGCAGGGATCGAACCCAGCATCCCGGTATTACGAAGCGTTCGCATCGAGTTAACCACAGAGCCGACAGGAGATAGCTAGTTGCTTAAAAAAACACACACCTATTTAAGGAATCAAAATGAGAAGGGTTAAAACGATTAGCTATAAAAAAATGTGCGTCTGTGGTTTAGGCGTTACGAACTAGCTTTGTAATGCTGGGGTGCCGGGTTCGATCCCAGCTGCGGGCCTTGCGGTGGTTACGACAGTGGTATCGAGAAGCCGACAGTCCAGAAGCAATGGCAAACTTCTGGACGTAAACTTGCCTAAAAATAAACCACATCAGCCCAAATATTCTGGGGTTGGTTCTTCAACATCCTGTAAAAGATAAGCAACATTAAAATTATATGTATATATTGGCTTCTTGTGTGTGTGTGTGTGTGTGTGTGTGTGTGTGTGTGTGTGTGTGTGCGCGCGCGCCAGCAAAAATTAAGCAGTAACTACAGTTTCATTCTAAACAAGTTTAAAAAAAAAAAAAATTAAAGATCCCTCTTCACGCCTTACGAGCGTTGGGCATATGCGAAGAGCACCCATATTTGCAGACCAATCGGAACTAGGTGGATAATGTGGTCAGCAATATGCCGACCGTCTTTACTTTCCCAGGACATACATCCTGGTACCAATTTTAGGCTGGGTCGACCAGCAACGCTCCGTACCATGTTAAAACTCCACGCAGCCAGCAGTGGTTTTCAACAGCCGATTGTTGGAATTATGAGTCAGACTCACAATGCCTAAGCCCCGGACGCCGCACAATTTTAACCTGTTATAGTGTATTTAAAGAGGTACACATGGATTATTAAAAATATTCTCTCTCTCTCTCTCTCTCTCTCTCTCTCTCTCTCTCTCTCTCTCTCTCTCTCTCTCCCCCCCCCCCCACTCTCTCTCTCTCTCTCTCTCTCTGTTGCTGCCTTAATTTTTTCAAAGCCTCCAAGTGCAGCTAAGGCTATCGCCCCCTGGAACATCCAGCGCATACCCCCCCTCCCCCCCCCCCCGCTTTCCCACCGGGGGCGGTAGCATCCAGTTTAATTAACACTGGTCTAGCCTATGTTCAGGACATCTAAAAGCGTGATGTGGTCTGTGTTTCAATTTAATGTCACTGTAAAGCAGTGACGTTTGAAGAAAGGAAACAATCGGGAAAGCAGTTAGCAAATGACTTAATATTGCTCACATTAGTTTCTTGATCGCTCTGTGTAATGTCCTGGTGGGGTAAAACTTACTTTCTGTAAGTCGCATGGATAGCGGCTAGACACTCGCGTGAGGATCGGAAGGTAGTGGGTTCGCTCCCTAGTGAAGCCGAACCTTTTTTTTAAATGACCTTGACTCCTAGGTCGACCCAGCTCTAAGTGGAGACAGGGTGCAGTCTCGGTAAGTAAAGGCATGATGCTGACCACATCATCCGTCTTGTGCCGATTGGTTTATAAAAATATAGGTCCAGCCGTGTATGCCTTTTATGCCCTATACGCCTAAATGCGTGGAATAGGGGCCTTCACTTTTGTTTGCTTTTTTGTTCACATTATTTGCCTAGAATACATAATTCAACACTGTTAACGTTTTGAAACCTAACGGTATAAAACACTGAAAATAACATGGCTGTACCTTTATTGTTGTAGACTGTAGAAAGCAAGAGATTCTTCTTCCCAGACTATCCACAGGTAAAGAGAAGCTGTACATAAATATCATTTATAATGTTGAAGTGTGATTGCATGTCACCTGATATCAACATATTTCATCTCTAGGGGTGAAACTATTTAACACTTTTTAGTAGTTTGGTCTGATGAGACAAAAGATTATGGAGTGCAAAAATGTAGAATAGCATTTTCGGCCGATCTACAATTGTGTCTGTTTGAGAGCCAACCATATTAGAGTGTTAGAGGGTCGAAGCTTGTTGAAAGCATTCTCGTGACTGTAGTTTCCCTTTTTTTTTTAAGGCAAACATGACGTTCTGTAAATCACTTGTCTTGTAACTTTAGATAGCAGAATTTCCTTCACTTTCTAAGTTGGGTCATATCAGGGAATAGTTTATCGAGATATAGTGTAAAATATAATTATAGGAGAGAATGTAAAGCATACAGAGATATATCACTACTGAGTCACATAGGAAAAAGGTGCCCCAAAGTACTATAACAGAGAGCTAGAACCATAACCGAACAACTGTTGAGTGCGTCACAATTCGGTTTCAGTAAAGGCAGAGGATGCACAGATGCATTATGCAAGTGTGTGAGAAAGCCATTGAGTTTATACTACCAAACAGAATACTGTGTTTGTAGATCCGGAAAATTCTTTTGATAGAGTGGATAGAAACAAACTGTGGTCTGTTCTTGAGAACTACGGGATATAAGGAGAGTTACTAGAGAACATCATAGTCATGTACCACACAAGCCAAAAAGCAGTAAGAACACAAGAAGGCATATCAGATTTGTTCAGTCAACATAGGTGTGAGACAGGGATGTGTGCTCTCCCCGCTTTTATTTAACATTTATATAGACAAGCAATTTCTGATACCGACAACATTGATCTTTATAATCATGAGAAAGTTTACACGTAAGGAAAAGTTATCGATTCACCCACATTAAACGAACTACTATTTTCTGACACCAGTGCTTGTTCTATCCTGAAGAAGATAGACAACAAGGCCACATTAACAGGTTAAACTCAGCATGCAATAAATACACCATGAAGATCAATGCAAACAAAACCGAAACAATATACGTTAGTAGAACCCTTGACCCACTACACATACAGCTTAATAGTTCTGGTCTGAATTAGGTTAGGGAGTTTAAATATCTAGAAAGT